AGGTTCAGACACTTTTCACATCTTCACAGGACTCAAGTTTTCGGGATACGCACGAAGAGTTTAATAACGATGACTCCTCGTTGTCCGAGACTTTGAGCAATTCTTTTGTCCCTGAACAAACTGACATGGATGATTATACGAAGTATGTTTTGTACTTTCGCAGTGCCTTTATGTAAAGCGTCATTGCAATGTTTGACCTAATCATTTGATAAAGAAAGAAAAAAGAACAACCTTTTAGATATTACCTATGTTTCGACGTTGAAGCTACATGTGAGGAAGGAAGCTTCAATTATATGAATGAAATCATAGAATTTCCCGTATTACTGATTGATAGTCACACATTTGATATCGTAGGATTTGCTTTTCCTTGGAATTTATTTTCTCACCTTACTATCAAGTAACGTCGTTCGATATCTCTAGATTGACGTATTTCATTCCTACGTCAAACCAAGTGTCAATCCTGTGTTATCAAATTTCTGTACACAGTTGACTGGCATATTGCAAGTTCGTTACAATTATTTACAATTTAACCAATTTATGCTTTGTATGTCATTAATTCTCCGATTCGATTTGACCTACCGTTAGGAAACAGTTGATGCAAGTCCGTCGTTTCCTGAAATGTTGTGCAAATTTCAGGAATTTTTACACCGTTATCAGGTAATTTATTATCGTTGATCTACTACCACGCGTCACGCCAATAATTCCTATTTTTTTTTTTTCTATCCAGCTCTTTAATGACAATACCTGTGCCTTTATAACCGATGGTATGTGAATCGATTAGTTACACATATTTGATAGACTTAAAATCTGATCAACTTTATTGTTACAATAGGTCCTTGGGATATCAAAAATTTTGTACGCAAGCAATGTAAAATTTCTAATATAACTTTACCCTCGTACTTTGCCCTTCCTTGGGTGAACATAAGACTTTTGTTTTCAACTTTCTACAACGTTAATAAAGAGAACATTTCCGGCATGTTGGCGCGATATGGTTTAAAATTCGAGGGGCGCGAACATTCGGGAATCGATGACGCCAAGAATTTGGCGATAATCGCCAAAAAATTGTGGGAAGATGGAGCCGTGCTTGAAACAAATCAAGCTATTGGGCGCAGAACAAGAATGAATTTTTGAGTACCGGTTCTTTGCTTTCAAAACAATAATGATTCAAGATCACAGAATCATCTCTTCTATAATCTTGATTTTCAAATTTTATTTGGAATGAGGAATATTTGTTATTACAGGTTTCTTAAAACGTCAATAATATAAATCGATTTTTAATTTAAGTGAATAATGGATAAAGGTAATAATAAATAAATATTGAAGTTAAATAAGTTCAGGATATAAATAGCACCTCCTTATAAATTATTTGTATCTTCAAAATCAGCGGTCATTTCGCAAAGATGATGCACGAATTTGAAGGGTGCAATCAAATCTAATATCAGCTGTACACTAGCACCCCAATACTCATCTACATTTACGCTTTTCATCAAATACCATGTGTCAAAAACAAAGAACAAGGTTAAGGGCAATGAAATCAGTATAGATATAATTGTATCTAATAATATGAAATCATTGGGCCTATAAAAATGCAGGAGGAAAAAAATCGATGATGAAGCGCAAGTTGTGATTACAGTTAATATTCTGAAAAATAGAGAGAATGCGTCAATAATTTTACGAGTTCTACTTTATCTTTGAATGACTTCAGGACTAATTTTGACACTTACACAGGTTCTTTTGATCTAAATTTATAAGTTATCTGATTCGTGTATCCAAGAATCGACAGGCAGTTAACAAGTAACAAGATCATCGTTTCAAGCGCCCATATTAAGTGCAAGAGACACACTATTGGAAATGGTTAACTAATTTTAATGCACATGAAAATATTGGTGCAATGAACTATAGCATGCGAACTTACCTACGCTCCCGATCACATATCCATTCACTAACGCGTATATAAAAATGAAATACCAACTTGGTTGGAAATCATCATTTGACTTATAAGTCAAAGAGATCAATAATATAATTGAGATGGCGAGGGAAATCCACCATAGCCACCAACTAGAAGTTATTCGACCAACAATTCAGGTTTGATAAGTCACATTCGCAAATGGGAAAGTTGAAGAAAAAAAAGAAAGACACTCACTATCGTTGAATAAAGTTTCTCCAATCATACATGTAAATTAACAACGATGTAATTGCAAGAATGACAAACACATGCACAGCAAAAATAGCCCAGACTTTACGGACGAATGCTATCGAGGATGCAATAGAATCAAAGGGTAAGACAGAGCCAATAAAATCCCAAATACAGTTGAAGTTGTCCAACGATGGGCTCGCCACAGTGGGTTGTTGTTACGATGCCACTATGGAAACATAAAAGAACCCACAGTTGAACTAACCGAAATTTATTCTCATTAAATTCAGGAAACATGAACTTCAACTGTACAATGATAAAAACATATGGTAGTTTGTTATTACCCATTTGAACGGGAGTGCTACATAAGGACACCGGGACGCCAAAAGGGTACAACCTAGTATTTTCGTCTTCATCAATGACATCGTTACGTACATTATTCTCGTCGACACTTCGCTCCATGCTGGCGATAGTATGAAAGAAAACTGGCGCGATCAATATTTTTAGATTTCATATCGATCACACACTGTATATGTACAACGATACGGCGTAAATTTTATATGCTATGTGTTGCACGTGATTTTTTTGCTAATCTATACTTTATTGATAATCGATATATATTTTTTTTTAAAAAAAAAATCAATTTACTGTATACTATATATTGCATGATGTATTACGGCGAGTTAAATCATTATTTTTTTAATTTATTAATTATACTTTTTAAAATATTTTTTATATTTTTTTTATTATATATAAACCAATCAAAAAATGTCATAACATCTTAACTTACATCGGATTTCGCATTGGACTTCTTTCCACTCTTCTATAGTAAATAATTCTTATGCCTCTCGGTCATCAAGGTCAACAATCCATTTGTGAAAAATCTTTGAGCTGTGATAGCATTAACGGTGATGGAGGTTCTGATTCTCAATATCGCTTATATTACAAAAGGGATTAAAGCTTTGAGACTAAGAAAAAATTAAAAAAATAATCATTGTCACTTTCGGGTAAGATGAAGAGATGGAATTTAATGATTCAAATTCGGTCTAAAAAGAACCGCACCAATTAGCAATTATTCGATCTTGATAATAACTGCACAATCACCTTAATGTAAATACAATACATCGTCCATCACTTATAATTTCTGATTTCCGCCGCTTCTTATGTGTACTTATTGAATTTTGTTAAGAATTATCAAATTTCATTATCTAACTCCTGAAGAAATACAAAGTCAGAACAATAACATTAACTATTATGCCAATTATCAATTACTAGCTAAAAAACATCTTACCCTTTCTTAGACTCCTTCTTTGATATATTAACATTGAATGGTCCATTATTGATCCCAACCACTTCGCTATCCGTAATTTTGTGGAAGTGAAGTGAATTACCACCAGCTACCTTACGCGCATTCTCCTATTGTCTTGCGACATGAAAATCTGATTTAGAATCACCCAAAGTTAGATAATTTGAAATATTGGTACAAAATAATATTCCATTTGATTTTCCTCCCATCGAGTAGGCTAGAAGACTTTAACACAGGGAAGCTAAGAGGTTGCCTGTGCCCCCGATGGCCCAACGCTGAGTAGGCTAGAAGACTTTAACACAGGGAAGCGAAGAGGTTGCCTGTGCCCTCAGCGTCAGATGTGACAAAGAAGCTAAAAGGTTCCCGCCACATTTACTTTCTCTCAACCACATTTCCAACAAAAAAAATTACTTTCCTTCTGATAATATTTATTAAGGAACTGTACTGCTTTTTCACGTTTTTTTCCTTGCTTGGAGCTAATGATGTGTTTAAGACTTTTTATATATCAGTTCACAATGTTTTATAAGATTATTTGTGGAACTGTTACCATTCGTGGGTCGGCTTGATGGTGTTATAATCCTTTTAAAATATTCGCGTATTTTTTGTCAGACATTTTATTGGAGATCATTTCACGGACTACATATATACAACACGTGATACTTTTACATCCGCATGATCACGGTTTCATACGTAGTACAGAGAACCCTCCCTAAAGCAAGCGCGCATTTAAAGGTGTGCATTTAAAGAAAAAAAATTTTTTTTATTTATTTAATTTTTGCACTACATATATCAAAAAAAAATTTTTTTTATTTAATATACAATTAATGCTTTGATTCTTAATAGTATTGAATCAACAACTATTTAAAAAATTGATATATCTATATTTTCTCATATTTTTTTTAAAGTTATCTTAAGATTGTTTTTGTCTTTTGAAAAATTTTCTCTATTTTAATACTATTTATTAGAATTTTTCAAATGTTTTCTATATTAAGAAATCATGATAACCAATCTATATATATACAGTATTTGATTTTTTATAATTGAGCCAATTTGATACTTTATATATATGAGTATTATTATGTTAAAAGATTATATTTAATTTTATTAATAGATACACAGCAGTAGCAAATAATATAAAATAATTATCAAGAACCTTAATATAAATTTTTTTGTTAATTTTTTATTTAAAACTCTTATAATTATCAAAAAAAAACCAAGGATTTTTGATTTTATTAATAAATAAAATCATATTATTATTAAAATCCTTTTACTTTTAAAATTTAATACCAAACATTTATATTTATACTTTTTATCTATATAACATCATACTTTAATCTAATAAAATTGTTTTTCTATTTTAACACTTGTCTTATTAAAAAAAATAATATTTTATCATTTATAAATATTTTTATCTTGATAAAAAAACTCTTTCTTGATTGTATCAAAACTACCAAATTAGGAAATACCCAAGAAAACAAAATTTCGTCTCAAGGGAAAAATAAGGAGGAGGGAGGCTCTCCTCCCAAACCTCTCAACCCAAACCATGAATATACTCTTCTTGATATAGTCCTTGCTGATAACAAACAAATGCTTCCTAAAGTCTCAATAATTTACAAAAACAACAAAAATTCATAAATTTTCATCACAAAACCTGCCAAAGAATTTCAAATTCCTCTTTTTGACAAATACCCTAAGTCCTGGCTTATCCCCACAGTCATAAAACAAATCAGAACCCTTGAAGAACACATTGAAGTCATACAAGTCAAATTTGAGGAGAAAAAACCAACAACCCGTCTCTTTAGCCCTCAACTTAAATTCTCAATCTCAGTTCTAAACCCCAAGTCCTTGCAAACACTCAACGATTTTACAGAACACCAGATGAACTTTAAGCTGGAAAGGAGCAACAGAGAGCATGCCATCAGAGAAGTTATTAAAAACACAATGAACTATGACCTACACCTCTCCTGAACCAAAGTAAATATTATTGCAGATGAGTTCTCCCAAACCTTCGACATCCAAAAACTGAAACACCCAGACCCCCTCCAAACACACCTGCACCCACAGAGGAAACGATCGACAACAATAGCATGCAACTCGATTGTGGCCATGAAGCAACAGATACACCTACCCCTGAGTGCAATGTTAATCAAACCAGTCCTCAAGCAGACACGAGCAACACCTCACAGGTACATGCAGATCACTCTATCTATAAATCACAGCACATCACCTCACAGGACACACAATCAACCTTTACCAGTATGGAAATTGATGAGCACCACTCCTCTAACCAATCAGAAGACACCATAGAATCATCATCCACTTCATGGGCTGATGAAACTAATCAACACCTTGAAGCAAGCAGCAATAACTCCTCCCATAATTCAGCAAATATCAGAAGTACTTCAAAATTGAACGAGCAAGAAAAAATTCTAGAGTTGTGCAGCAAAATCGACCAGTGCGACAGGACAGCTAAGTTCATAATAGAACTCTTTATCAAAATCAAAAACCAACCAACTGGCACACCAAGGACCTTCCTAAAAGGCATCTTTTCCAAAATCAAGTATAGAGACCACAACTTTTTCAGAACCTTTGCAAGAGACAAGTCAATTAAGGGACAACACCAACGAAAGTATAAAAAAGTAGAAAAAGAATTCCATAGTAACTACCTAAAGGCAAACAACGTAGGATACATCACCAGAACCATCAGGAAAAAAATTAGAATAATTATCAACAAGGCCCTCTTTATTGCATATCTCAGGTTAACAAACCTGGCCCTCCTCAAATACTGGCAAGTCGCATAACTTCTGGAATACAGCTTTAACTTCTTTATGAATCCTAACCTGGAATAAATTGACTACAATGAAATTTACGAAAACTGTGAAAAAATGATCAAGGACAACCTCCCTAACCTCCCAGAAAATCCAACTGACATCCCTAAATCAATAAAAGTGCAACTCCCAAAAGCCATACCAATCACCTCCACAAAAGATACGAGTGAGATTATAGGAAGTCTTAGAGCTTTCTACAACTTCGAGCTTCTTCCAAGAACATACTTAGTCAAAAAACCTGATCTACCCCCTGACCCAAGTAATCTTGCTCCCATGAGGAAACACAAATTCCCATTAACAGAAAGAGAAGAGTTAATAGATCTCAGAATTTGTATAGAAAAACTCAGAGAAGACTACTATGTGCCTGGAAAACTTTTCGATGCATATTTTAATCTCCCACCACCAAAATTAACCCTTCCACCCTCCTACAGAGACCTATCCCACCATTTAGCCAGAGAATTTCCAGTAGACAACAGCATCGAAAGCTTCAAAAGAAGAGTCAACCTCCTAAGAGACAATAACTATGCAATCAAGTGCCTACCACTAGACTACATAATAGTGAAGCACCTGCTTCCCCCTTCACACTGGTATGGTGAAAATAATGCCATTCTCCTGCCCATCACTACATAAGAAGAAGCAGATGAACTTATAAAGGATCTCAAGTCAAAATTCTTTGTAAAACTTCCTTTGGGACCTGAATGAATCAATGAAAACCTAATTCAATTTGACAAGCCAAAGCTCCCTGTCGAGTTAAGCACAGTAGAACAAAAACTCAACATTAACAAAGAGCAACTGGACAGAAACTCCCCTGACTTTAGACAAACTATCTCCAAGATTAAAAACAACTACACAGGTGCAATACCAAGAGAATGGATTACACCTCTCCTATCAATACTTCCTGACATAAATGAAACAAACAAAATCCTCACTGGTAAAAACATTCAATTATCAGTACCCCTACTGGACAATCCACAACTTAGTGAGAAAATTAAAATCCTTGGCACACATTTTCACTTCGACAAACTCTCACGAGATTTTATCACTGAGCCCGAGTCACCTGAGCCAAAGTTGACTCTTCTCCCAACACTTATTTAATCATGACAGAAGAGCCTAACTCAATTCACTCCTTAGAAACCATCTCATTTGACAATCCACCCACAAGTACCAACAATCCAATTAGATCCAACCATCGAACATCACCAGTAAATATCCCATACCACACAAAAAACCTCATCACAATTTCAACACTCAATGTCCAAGGCCTCAACTCTCGAGGGAAACTTCTTGAGCTGACCAAAAGCATCACTAACGAA